CTATAGTTTTTTTTATACATAGCATAAAGGTAAAAAACGATATATGCAGTGTTATCTTCATTTTAGATGTCAAAAGGTTTTGTGGCTCCCGGTGTTTTTTCTGTGGGAAACGGGTCCAAATGGCTCTTTGAATGTTTAAGGTTGCCAACCCCTGGACTAGGGTGTTTGCAAAGCTCTCCTCCTGCACCATGATTCAAATGCGTCCATTCTCTTCCAGTCATCTTTCTTTGCTGTAAGCTTTCACAACCACAGTGGACAGAAATACATTAGTGTCAATGAACCTGGCCTTGGTCTCCAGTGCAACACCTTTACACTTGCTGATCTTTTCTAGTGCCTTCACTGTTGCCCTTCTGAGTCTCAAGCTTCTCCTAATTTTTGGTTACAGTCTGCTTTTGACTTGATGACTGAGCCATGCAAAATCTTACACAATTTCAATTTTTTCAGTTTTGACCATAAAAATGTGTAGCTGTGATTTCTATCGTCGTGTTTCCTGTTTTGTTCAGCTTCAGTCCTGCTTTTGCAATTTCTTCTTTCACTATCAGGAGTCATTTCAATTCATCCTTGCCTTCTGCTAGTAATATGGAATCACCACATATGTTAAAGCATTGATGTATATTCCACCAATGTTGATTCCTCCACCTTCTGATCCTAATCCAACTTTCCTTATGCTGCTGTTCCAGATACAGGTTGGGCAGATAAAATACACCCTTGTCTATCACCTTTCCCCATGGGAAACCATTGTATTTTCCATATTCTGCCTCAACAGTCACTTCTTGGCCATGATTCAGATCACGACAAATACTGAGACACACTCATTTCTTCCAATCCCATCCATAGCTCATGATCCACACACTTGCTATAGTCTATAAAGCTTAGACTGATCGTCTTTTCTGAAATTCTTTGAAGGAATCTAGTAGCCAATCTATATTTGCAATATGATCTCGGCTGCTGCTCCTTTTTTGGAAATGCACTTTGAATCTCAAGCATTTCTCGCTTCGTATACGGTAAAATTCTTTGTTGGAATACCTTGAGTATCACTTTGTATGGGAAACTAATGCAATGGTCCTTTGGTCGCTGCACTCCTTAGCCTTGCCTTTCTTGGGGGACTGGCATTGTACCATTAATGTTTCCAGTCTATGGGCCATTGTTTTGTTTCCCATATGTGTTGATTTATTCTTCTCTTCAGTCTCTGCAGCTTGGAATTTATTTGTACCTTTATTCCTTCCAAGTGCTTTCAAAGGATCTTTTCCTTCATTTTATAATATTGCATGTTCTTTCTCATAGGATCCTTCTTCAAAGGAACCTGTCAACTTTTACATTTTCCTGTATAGTTCTTCCATAAATTGCTTCCTCCTTTTAGTTTATCCTGCTTACTATATTCCCTTGTTGGACCTCCGCATTCCTAATCTAGGTTTGAACCCTTTGATTTCTTGGATCTTCAGGAAGAGGTCTCCTGTTTTTCCTCTTCTGTTGTTCTCATCTATTTCTTTGAAATGGGCACTGTAATACTTCTTTTTGCCTCTATGAATCAGTCACATTCAGGAATCTGACCCTATTTGTTACCTTTTGCTTCTTTCTTGAGTTAATCATCTGACACTTGGGCAGGTAACAAAAAAAAGAGGAAATTCAGAGGCAAAGTTGACAAATGACAAAGAGGACAAACAGAAGAAAATAATTATGAGCACTTAAGTATAGAATCAACAGAAGCAAGATGGATGGGGGCATGCTGGGAGTTATAGTCCAACACATCTGGAGGGCATCAAGCTGGGGATGATGTGGAGCATTCCCCAGAACTCCCCAGCTGTAGGGCTTTTCTCTGTCTAATTCTGCAAAAGATTTTGCCTTAAGTATGGGATTTGCACTTGGCTCAAAAAAGTGGGGGCAGGATCTAAATGTTTATAGAATGTTTTTCCATCAGCCCACATAGCCACTCAGAGCTTTCCCTTGGACTTCAGATCCTGGATTGTTTGCTTCCTCTCTCAGGAACAAAAAGAAGCCCATTCTTGGAATCAGTCACTGAAATTTTAAGTGCAGGCTGGGCAGGGGATTCCTGTTACTGTGTTCTCCGGAGACATGCTTCTGAACTTTCTACCCCAGTGCTTTCCTCCAAAGGAGACGGCCAGCGTACCCGTTCCTTTCCTGGACGTAGTCAAGTCTTGCATTCCTCTAAGGGACAACAGTCCCTGGGAAGAATAGCCCACTCTCTCCCCAGCAAGTCAGCCTAATGTTCCATCTGCCTCATTAGTCTCTCAAGAAATTACCGGCCAGGAATCCACCAAGGGCACCTTCCAATCTCTTAAGGTGGCAGCACCACCTACTGACTGAGGACTGCAATTTAAGCCCCAAAGAAACAAAGGAGAGTTTATATTTGTGAAATACCATGAGGCGTATGCTTCCTTAGTCAAAGGCCCTTTAACAGAGGCAGTGTAATGAATATCATGCTGGGGACAAATAATTCCACCATACAAACCTGTAAGAAGCACATGCCTGCTCTGGTTGTCTGTGCAGGACCATTTTACAATGGCCTGGCAAGATATTGCCAGAACTTTGCTATGAAGGGAGCAGGTTCTAGAAACCTATTTGCAGAAATTAGCTCAACAATGCCGAGTCAGGAGGTTAATGAAGTTTTTCATCAAGCTTAAGAGAGTTCACTTGCAAATACCTGTCAGTAAAGAGCAAGACAGTACTCAATCAGGAATGATGTATACCTGAAAGAAGCCAATGCTTTTCCTTTTCCTGCCTGCACAGAAAAGATCTTCTAGGAGCCGAAGAATGGGGCTTCTGCTCCAAAGTCTAGCTCCTGATGGGACTCAGCCTCCAGACATAAGCTAGAGACCAATTTACCCCTGGAGGACGAATTGTTCCCCAGGTTGATTTAAACTATGTCAGTTCCACTATTTTTCATTCCATATTGTTGCACTCCGGTCCTTTTATGCTTCGCACTCAGGAGATCTCCATATTAGCCTTTGTGCTGATAGGTCAAATCAGCTAGATATTACAAAAACTCAGATGTTCCGTTTTTAAACAATGAATGCCTTAATCACAAAGCCGTTCCCCCAGCTCTTCAACACTAGCCCAATTCCTGATGCAAATCACATGGCTGAGGCACAGAAAGGCACAATGAACTTTGCCCCAGAGCCTATCTGGCTTCCCTATCCCACCCTCACATTCATGTGTTGACTGTAACTGATACAGGGGAGATTATACCTGTAGATTTGTGTGTGTGTAGACTTTTGTGGAAACTGGAATCCTCTGTGATCAGCATACCATCTTCTGTGCTTGTTTTCCCCTTCTCAGCTATCCTACAGAACATGTGAATACTGGACAGGGCACAGACGTCATGCAACCTTGGGCAGTGCCAGAAACAAAATTGTCTTTCTGTGCATGGACCCCCTTCACACAATTTAACATGTTCTTAGGAGAGTAGCTATTGTAAGAGCCGCACTGGATCAGACCAAGGGTTAGTCCAGCATTCTGTTCCCCTTGGGCCAACCCGCTGCCCACAGGAAGCCCGCAGGGAGTGCACTAGCTCCCTGCTGCCCGTGCTCCCCAGCAGCTGGCTTGCGGAGGCGCACTGCAGGCAGGATGCAGCCATCACGGCCGGCAGCCCCTGACGGCCTTCTCCTCCATGGATCTGTCTCGGCCTCTTTCAAAGCCATCCAAGCTGGTGGCCGCGGCTGCTGCCACCACTTCTTCCCACAGCGGTGCTCCCCGTCTCTCCAAAGAGAAGCGGCGACAGGATCAGAGTTTAATACATTGCCAAAGCCGTCTGGGAGAGAGCTGCTGCAGTCACAGCAATGATCCCAAGCCACAGTCGTGTCTGAGCTGGACACCCATCCCAAACCAGCACTTCTCCCCATCTTTCCCTTCCCACCTTCCTGAAGGAAGCATGTCGCTTTCTTGTTTCTCCTTCCCTTTCAATCCATTTCTCTCCTCCCTCTTCCTTTACCCCTCACCATGTTGTGAAGTGGCTGCAAAGGAATTTATGTCTATGAAAGCTGTGAAGCAAAACTTTCATGATCATATTCTGGCTAATGGGCAGGATAGAGATTCATTCAATCAATCAATCAGTCAATCAATCAATACCAAGTGGTATATGGTGTTCCAAAAGCAGAATATCCACCTCCTGGGGTCTTCTCTCTTCTCCAAGGACCAAACTCAGCTTGCTGGGCCTACCCAGAACTTGGATTACCCCCATGATGTACCATGTAGACCCTTCTTCACATTTGCTTCTTCTCCCTTACAGGCAAAAGCATGTCTTTTAGCATGAACGTTTTTTGCTATGTTCCACAATTATATTGTCTACTGCCTCACTAGTGCTCTCACCACATCTTGACTTACACATGGCAAAAGCAAAATGTGTCATTGGAGCTCCCAGTTCTGTTGCAGTCCTCAGAAGCAACACAAGAGGATGATATACAATTCCAGCTGTATTCATGCCTGCAAGAGTGTTGAGGAATGAGCCTTTGGAGAGAAAAGCAATTACCTTGTTCCCCATCTCCTTCACGAGAAAGAACTCAGCTTCCCATCATGTCCTGGGTTCCACCAATCACCCTTCACTAGGCATCTCTAGAGATTCCTGGTTGAGCAAGTTCTGCCCAAATCTTCACTGAGAGTGATGTTCTCTTCTAGACAGAGGTGCATGGCTCACCCTATCATTCCAAGAGGAGTATGAAGGGGAAGAGAAATGTTCCATATCTGGAAGACCCAGGACCGGCTGCGTTACACAGCCTATACCACAGTTAGAAAACTGTGGTGAAAATTTGGGTGGTATTCACACCTTGCTTCCTGTATATTCTAGCCCAGCCTGGAGTCACAAACAGTCTGAGGCAAATGTGCACACAGACCAAGAAGCTCTAGTTAAATCCACATGTATGACCAAATCCCAACCTCCGCATAATTTATGCATTATGAAAAAGATTTAAATATTATGGAAACAGGCATCATCATGTAGCATATAGGAGCAAGAATTTGAGAAAAACAACAAGGCAATACAATACTAGGCTGAGGTCCAGTTAATTTACACAAAACCAACACTGGATACAACCCCGGTATTGAATCCTGCTACAGACTGGGTACAATAAGCAAAACAGGGTAAAGATTAAAATTTATGCACAGATCTGAGCCTATCCTGGGACAGCTGTACTTACTACAGATACTTTGAGAGTTACATGCCATGTTTGGCAGATGTTTATTTAACTTGGCCTTTCAATAAAGTAGTTCTGGATAGAGCTTCAACTACTGTCCGGTGCCAACACAAAACTAGGATGTAGGCTGGGGAACTCTTTTGGTTATAAACTGTTGTGTTCTGACTGCACCCACATGTGGAAACAAAAATCTGCAGGGGCTCCCAAAGAGCGCGTTGATTAGCTTCATCCAAATGCATCCCCCGCAGTAGCAGATTGCAAAACCGGAGAGGGGGCTCCAGTCTGCCTCCTTCCACTTATTATGCTGTACAACCACACCATGAAGGGTAGGACAAACCACATGCTTTGCGCTGAGTTGGCATGAGATGTGAAGACCTGATGGACAGGAAAGAGTTTCGCACCTGGCTGGCGCGATCACCTGAATCAAAGTCCTTAGTCAACAGAGTTTGGAAGCCAAGGTTTCGACCTTGGCTGGAAAGGTCAGCGCCTGGTCAACACATGAGTCCGCCTGTGGTATTTCCCTGGTGCCAGCAACTCCAGAGTCAACTCAGTTAATATAGCTGTGAGTCCCCATACACGGTGTGGGCCATGCAGGAAGATGGGCAGTGTGTAGCTGTAGACACCTTTGTGGCAGAAGTGGGTGTAGCCCTGGTTCTCTTCTTGCAGCAGGTGGGGAACAGACAGTGTGAAGACAGCCTCAACCTGGAAACCAAATGGCAAAGATCACCACCGACCCCCAGGAATGTACCCTCACTCCCAAGGCTTCCACTTAGGGTCTAACTAGACATTATAGGAAGGCGTCTTTCCCATGCATCTCCCCAATAGCATGTCCAGGAAAAGAAACATATAAGGATGCATCACTGCATTCCTTTAATTCTTTGACTCACCTCTTGAGGGTTTGGTTTCAGAATTAGGTGCTCCAGAGGACCCAAGTTTGCTATCACGGGAGCTACTAACTTTTTAGTCTGAAAGGGAACCCGAATTAAACTCCAGTGAATTCCAGTCCTCTTCATGCTATGCCCGCAAGGCATGCCCCATGGTGAGAAATCCCTCAGTCAAACCACTCCCCACAGCCAAGCCTCCTGACCCACAGCGATACCCTGGAAAGTCTGCAATTTTTCTTCTATCACACACTGCTCCATAAGCTTCCCTTCCTTAAGAGACCCCTCTATTCATGGAATATTAGTCACTACTCCCTTATGGAACTCCCTTCCAAGATTAATCTTATCCTTTATTAATCTTAAAGATTCTGGGACCCCAGTTATGACATTACCCTATCAGGGATGGGTTTCATGACTCCCCAGACGCAGTCCTCCCTTAACTGTAGACCCAGCTCTTCAGAAGTCTCCCTGAGGGCTGTGGCGATGACATCCTGGTCAGAGTCGTCACGTTTACCACCTGGGAAACTGCATGAGCAAATTAGGGTTCTTTTTAAAGGGGAAATTTAGGGCTGGAAAGCCAGAAGACTCTCAGATTACTTGAGACTGAGGGTCGCTGGCAGCCTTGAAGGGAAGAATCAGAGAGCTAGAAGGGAGTTTGGAGCGTATCTTACCTAACTGCCTGCTCAGTGCTGAATCTAGAAGGCAGGGTGCAATTGCAGCCTCCCTGAGAGATGACTTTTCAGCTTCTGTTTAAATACCTCCAGCAATAAAGAGTCCTTCACTTCCCAAGGCAGTCTGTTCCACAGTCATACAGGTCATACCATTAGGAAGATTCTCCCAATGCTTAGCTAAAATCTGCTTCCCTGAAAATTCCATCCAAAGGTTCTAAGTCTGCCCCCTGAAGCATCAGAATAAGTTGGCTCCATCTTCAGTCCAAGAGCTTTTAAATATTTAAAAACCATTACCGTCTCTCCCCTTAATGTTTTCTTCTTCAGGCTAAAACATATGCAGCTCTTCCAACTAGCTCTCAATCCCTCGTAAGACTCAGTTGTCAGACCCCTTAAAGAGATCAATCTAAGACAGCAAGAGGACACACAGTGTAACAGGAAACTCTTCTATTCAAGCCTCCTGGAATGCAGGAAAGAGTAGTTCTGTTTGAGAAATATTTAGCTTACTTCTGTCATGTTTTGGCTTTACTAGAGAAGAAGACTGTGTAATCAGTACCTGACATCGCCTTTGTGCACACCAGTCAAGGTGTGGGATCGCAGTGTGTACAAGAAGGCTGGGTCCCCTGCCACAGAGCACAGAGACACTAGAACAGCAGCTGATACCTCTTCTTGTCTGTATCGGTTGGTAGATGCCTTTAGCAGCCCTCGGCAACGCTGTTCATTTTCCCAGGATAAGTATCTACGAATTGGGCCCGTGCTGGCTATAGGGGTTGGGGCCATACCCTGCCAGAGATGATGAAGAGTATGAAGCATAATGCCCTGTGGGGGGAAAGAGGAGGAAGCTGCCTTGATCAGTGCTCTCCACCCCTACAGGAATAGCCAATATATGCAATCCAGTAGCCCACTCAGGCACTGCAGAGTTATTTTCCTAGACTATACAGGGCTCCAACTGTCTGCTTACTTAAATACTCACATGGATCCTTGTACACAATCAACTCACCTCCTACAGTTTAGTTGGTAATGTTTTTATTGTTAGATCATACCACACACGTCTGCTACAACACAAGGGAGGAAAAACAGGCCTCTGTCAGAAATATGCATGCTCATCAAAGAAGCAATCACATGCCAAGTTCAGTGTTTAAACCCATCTAGTTGTTAACAGCCATTGCCAAATCTAGGGCAAGGTTAACCACAGTCATTTCAGAATCCTGAGTTTCAACACATCCTCTTCCCGAGCCTTCAATACAAGATATTTTTACATGCATTTTGAGGAGCCACCAATAAATAACAGGGCATTTCTCAATAGAATATAATAGAGAATTCACTTTATTCATAACTGCTCCCCAGCCCTAAAAATGAGAGGGCAGCAGTCCTTGCTTTCTGAACAAAGTGGCTCTACCTGCCTCTTTGTCAACCTATCCCTGGGCAGCACAACGGGGCTAAATAGGGTCAATCCCCATTGCCACGCTCCCGAGAGGCAAGGAGGATGGGTCCACCCAAGGCTTGCTCCAAAGGAGTTGCCTTGATTGCATTTACGGTGAACGGCCCCGAACGCCCCTGGGCAATGATGTACATTTTAGAAATAAGCGAACTAAATACTTGTCGCCACCATAACCTGGAAACGGCTGTGTGTTTATGTGCGAGACACGGAGGAGGACAGCTGGCTCTGTTTCTCAGCTATTTTCGCCTATCACGCCGGAAACGTCCTAAAGAAGCCGCAGGTCGGGATCTAGCCGCACGTCACCGGGGAAGAAAATGACGGAGAGGAGAGAAGGTCAGCCAGGGCGGCGAAGCTGAAAGCCTTGCAAGCACGCCTGGGCGGAGCCGCCTCATTCGTATCAGCCGAGAAATAAAGCCCACCCGACCCGCCACCAGCTCACGGCCCTCGGGGAAAGGAGCGCGGATAGGGCCGCTTCTCCCGGCTGCTCATCCCCAGATGAGTGGGGTCAGCGGCGGCCGCAATATAACACTCCCTTAGCCACACACAAAGCTGCCGGGCACTTCCCATTCGCAGTCCCCTCCAAAAACATGGCGGGGCTGAGCAGGCCCGCTCTCCGCAGATGGGAGAGGGCAGGCGCTCCGCGGAAGCAGGTACGCTTCCTCCAGGCAGCAAAATGGGGTCACCTTCCCAGCTCTTACGGGCGCTTTTCGGTCCAAAGGCGGATTCTTTCCCTCCACAAACGCAGGAGGCGACGCGCGGAAAGATGCGAGCGCGTCCGTCACGAGAACGGCGGGCCGCGGAAGCCACGCCCACGGCTGGGAGGGACACGCCCACACCAGGCCCTCGGGAGCTGAGGGGGAGGGTCAGGCTCCCACCTGCGCGCGAGTAAAGCTGGAATGAGAAGAGGCAACTGTTGTTCCCCACGAAGGGCCACTTTCAGTCACAAGTAATCTTTTGGCGACGTATAGGTACATGAGGGGGTGTTACACGAAGTGGGTAGAGACCTGTTCTCCCCTGCAGAGGAAGGCAGGGAACCAAGGTTCAGTTTGGATGGCAGGAAGCACTTTCTGACAGGACTCCGAGGGTGTGGAATGGGCTTCCACGGGAGGTGGTTGAAGCCTCCATCGGTGTGGGTTGGACATGCACATGATAGCCATGTCATGAGTGGAGCCAGCTGGAGCAGGGGTCAGACGATGGCCTGGGAGGCCCCTTCTGACCTGCTCTGTTTCTATATTTCTATGTTTTGGAAGGCATGCCTATAGCACCATCAGAGCTACCCTTCAGACAACCTGATCAGACCAGTTCAGATATAACTGGTTGTGGGTTGATTAACCCACATATTGCTAAAATCCAGCACGAGCAAGCAAACTGCCTACATTTTTTCATTTCCAATTACGATTGCCCCATTCATAGGTTGATAGTATGACCCCTAAACCTAGACATTCCTAGGCTATTCATAGGTAAGTATCAAATTATGGATTTGCTATTGAGTTCCATAGGCTTTTTGAGTTTTCAACCCCTAATCAGACCAGAGATGGCTAGCAATGCTAGACCCAGACAATGTAAATTTTCAATGGAACAACCCAGTTAACTTAAAAATCGGCAGTGGAACATGCCTAGAACACAGTGCAACAAACCATAGATTAAAGAACTCACAATTTTCCTGCATTACATGTGAACCAGATCTGTAGATTCCATAGAGGTTAACCAATCCACAGTTAACCCAATAAAAATCATGGTTAATACTGGTTTATTTAATCCCCGAACAATTCAGTGTCAAGTATGGATGTCACACTACTGAACTACATATGGGATGATTGTTGTTTAGCTGAACACAGAAATAACAAGCATACCAGAGGCAGTGCATGTGTCCACCCTCATTCGTGTGACAACCCATGTACTGTGGTGAGTCACATGTTCTTAGTTTTGTTACTTCTGCCCCCTCCACCCCTTTCTCACCTGAAAGTGTGCATGCGATCATAGTATCACCACCCCCTTACAATCACTCCCTATCCTTTCACACATAAAGACTGTCTGCCCTGTTTGCAGATCTCTCTTTCATTCTCCTTGTGAAGGCAGCTAGTATGGCAAAGACCTGGACGACACATTACACAAGTCTGTTAGATGGTCCAGAGTTAGAATGAATTCACCATCTTGGCCCACTCTTACCCGAGCCTCCATCATAGAGCTTGGAATACCCATAGACACATCCACACATCACTTAGAGTTGCAATAAATATAGTTATAGCTAATACATTATTAGTCAAGGCATGACACTAAGGCCTATCTTCAAGTTTTTATAATAAATCATGCGCTTTCCTTTCTCAGGATTATGGGCTCAGGCTTCCAAGGCTGCTTGGATGAGCACCTCAACATGGTGAGAAGTCTGAGCATGTCATAGAAGCAAAGAACAATGCTGCCGAGAACCCAGACTAGCTATTTCACTAGCTTAATCTCCTAGTGGGGTCACCCAAGGTAGAATGGTCAAAGCAGAGACACCAGTCTGATTTATCCACCCTCTTCAGGAGTAATGGTCACATCAGAAAAGAATGAATACCCTGAATGGTGATGGGGTGGAGAAACAGCTGAAGGGAAGCTACCAGGCATGAGCAGTAGTTCAAAGCAACACTGATGGAGGGTCTTTCAGAGATGAAAGAGCAACAAAATGCAAGCTAACTCTGATTTATGCTGTGCAGCCAAGAAGAAAATTCAGAGAGTATGTCTGAACTTTCTTATAGAAAACTCAATAAAACAATAAAAAATGAAACAAGAAATCATGCCAGAAGATGATGCTCACAGGCTGAGAGGCACTCAACCAGCTACTGGGGAAAAGCAAAGGACAAGTACAAATAGCACTGTCAGTAATGATGCAGCTAGCTCAGAGGTAAAAGAAAGTCTAGTGGTTGACTTGCACAGAGCTTTCTTTTGCTTGTTTATTAATAATGTGCTTCCATCATTCATATTTGCATTCAAATAAACTGCACATCCTCTGACACAGGTGGTTTTACTTCTTCCCAAGCATCCTGAAAGCTAAAGTAGGTATCTTGACTGAACCAGGCCCCCATGATTAAAACAGGTAAATAGGAGGCATTGTGTTCTGGGGTAGAATAGACTGATGTCATTACACCTGGGTTAGCACATTTTTGAACATTCCCTAGCCTAATGAGTCCCTCGCACAGCAAAGAGTGGGATGAGTTAAGCCATTTCTCCCTGATGTTCTAGTTTTCTTACAAGAAAAATTGAAAATGCACACAGGGAATACCAATCAAGGTGGTTGCTAGACTTTACCACCTTATTATGCTGATATGTAAGACCATGTAGGATGCAGTGAACATAGTTTAGATGTATTTACTAGAAGGATCTGTGTACACAACCCTTGAATATTCTGCATTTTTGGCAGGATTCTTTTCCTACAAAGAAAGCAGGCAATTCCTTCTCCCTACTTACATTCAACTACTTTAAGAAATAAAGGAGCACTTCAGGCAACACAGAATTATCCACCTTACTTTCCCTCAGATCAACAGTAGAAGAGAGAGGTTAGTCACATCCATTTAATAGATGATCTGCCCTGTAAGGAAGCCAATAGTAACTGAAGCAGTTTGTCGCATACATAACAAAATTAAATAGGCACACTGTTCCCAGTGCCCAAGTGAAGTCAGAGATGGTTTAACCCTCAAGAAATCCCACCAATGTACAAAGGGATTATTTCCATGCCATGTGTGCTCTAGCTGTTCACCCAGATGTCTGCTGCATTTTAGATTCATTATATTGCCTCATCCTTTCTTCCAGCTCTGGGCGGAAGTGACGGATCAGTCCCTGTGAGAGAGAAACAAAAATTAGGAATTAGAACACCCACCCACAGGATTTCCTCTACCCACACCCTATCTGTATTAGCCAAACAACATGGCACTTCCACACATTCTTGCTGAGCTAAATGAGGAGCAGGTCAGGATGTTACCTGTACAGGCCAAGCCGCCCCATCTCCCAGGGCACAGATAGTATGGCCTTCAATCTGTTTGCTAATCTCCCACAGTGCATCGATCTCTGCCACTTGTGCATTGCCTCTCACGAACCGCCACATCACCTTGTTCATCCAGTCAACACCTGCAGGAAGGAAACCCATTTCAAAAAACAAGATGAAATGCCAATCTTTATGAGAAATAGTTATGGGAGAGTGAGAGAAATTGGCCAAGCAGTCCAATATTGGACAACAAATGTTAAATGGAGTCTGCATCCTGAGCTTGAAGTCTGATACTGATTTTATCCTGGAAAAGTTGCAGTCTCCCTTTTCAGAAACCTTATTTCACTTTGCATTTTTATAGTGCTGACATATGCAAGAGTCTGGAATTTTGCACTAAATGCTTTCCTTGCTCCCAACCCCAAACCTATCAACCTGGGGAAGAATTCTGCAGTAGCTTCAGACCTCAACACTCACCTTCTCGACATGGAGTGCACTGCCCACAGCTTTCATGTTTGTAGAATTCAATGAGGCGGGCAATGGCTCGAACTATATCTGTCTGGGGAAGAAAAAGATGGTGAAAATGCAATGAGAAGGAACAAAGAGCAGTAGGGCCAAAGGACAGTCCTTACCGATTTATCCATGACAATGAGAGCTGCTGTCCCAAGCCCACTTTGCGCCTGTACCAATGCATCAAAGTCCATCAGCACTGTCTCACACACAGATTTGGGGATGACGGGAGTAGATGAGCCTCCAGGAATCACACCAAGCAGGTTATCCCAGCCGCCTCTAACGCCCCCTAGTTAGAAGGCAGAGGCACAGTCAGGTCTGGCTCAACAGATCACTTGCCCACCCCAGAGGCAACAGAAAGCAGCAGGGGAGGCTGAGCTTCCTTCACAAATACAAGGTATTTGAAAAGGACCAAGAGCATCTTCCTTACGGAAAGTAAGGACTGGTGGTACTCACCAGCATGTCGTTCAATCAGATCTCGCAGTGGTATTGACATCTCCTCTTCCACAGTACAGGGTGTGTTGACATGGCCTGAGATATTGAAGAGCTTCGTTCCTGAGTTGCGCTCACGTCCAAAGCTAGCAAACCAGGTCCCTCCTCGACGACAGATGGTAGGTGCCACAGCAACTGTCTCCACATTTGCTACAGTGGTTGGGCAACCAAAAACTCCTAGAGGGAGAAAGAAAAATGAGCCACCTTTAACAAAGAGCTACAGGAGTAAAATAATGGGAAGGGGAGTGGGTGGAAAAGGTGATTTGCATCAATAGTGGAGATTCAAGAAGAAAATTCAGTTGGGCCAACAATCACAATGTTAAAGGGATTTTCCCCCCAGTATGATAAAGGCCATATAGGAGGAGAATGTGTTTTATGCCAGCCACTTCAAAAGGTTAAGGCAAAGGGGATAAATAGTGAGGCTCCAAAAGAACCGGGGTGCCATGCCCACATTGACTAACTTGGCATTTGGGGGGGAGGTTGGGAACACAGAAGGGCACCATACTCAGACCAACCATCACAGAGGAAGCATTTCAGATGCCATACCCACGTCAGCTGGGAAGGGAGGCTTGAGGCGTGGCTTGCCCTGCTTGCCCTCAAGGGATTCGATAAGTGCAGTCTCCTCGCCGCAGATATAGGCACCTGCCCCTCTTGTCACAAAGACATCGAAGTCATAGCCAGAGCCACAGGCATTCTTGCCAATCAGTCCTGCCTCATAAGCTTCCCTGATTGCCACCTAATAAGACAGCATGAGTGCAGCTGAGATGCAGTCCTAACAGTGTGCTCAATTGGTTTCTAAATAAAAATACAAGCATGTGTATAACGTGATAAAGGCAACCACAGGACATGACTAAAAACAAATTCTCTAATTCCTTTTCCCTAGCAGTTCTCACGAAAGAACATAGGGATAGAAGCATTGTTCACTGCTGTACAACAAGGAGAGAAGCAACTCACCTGCAAGTTTGAGGCTTCATTATAGAATTCTCCACGAATATAGATATAGGCAGCTCGGGCCCCCATAG